AGCCACTTCTAGTAGAGACAGGAGGAGGGACACCTGGCGAAGCTGGCTGTAGATCTGGCTGTGCCACATCTGGTAACTGCAACGCTGAAGGTTCATGGGGCGCCTGGAGTGTCTCCTCAGTAGGTTTCTTGGTGGAGGGTAGAGTTTGAGCATTGGCCTTCGATTCTACTATGTCTTCGTCTGGTATCGCCTGAAAGTTCTCAGGAACTTTGTAAAGATGTGAACGGTTTCGGCCGTAGACTCTCCCATCTTCCGTGCGGACCTGATAAGAACGTGGAGCTTCCTGACAACTCACTTGTGCTTTAAACCATCTTGAATGACCTGGTAACGGTCGGACCCGCACCACGTCTCCATTTCTTAGCGGCTGCAGATCTTTAGCACCTCTGTTGAAAAAGAACGATTCCTTGTTTTGCCTCAGTTGTAAATTCCGGTGTACATGGGGAATGACTTTGGGCTGAAGTAGGTGTCTAGCCGTGGGTAGCAAGGTACGGGTTCTGCGCGCAAAGAGACGCTGTGCAGGGTTGCTTTCCATTCCTTCTGGTGGTGTATTCCGGAAGTCCAGTAGAGACAAGTGGGGGTCATGGCTTGCATCAGCAGCCTTTCTCAAGATATTCTTTGCAGTTTTGACACTGTTCTCAGCCTTCCCGTTGGATTGAGGATACCGTGGAGACATTTTAACATGTTCAAACTGGTACTCGGCGGCAAACTTCTCAAACTCAGCACAGTCGAACTGTGGGCCGTTGTCTGTGGTGAGTCGGTCTGGAAGACCATATCTGGCCAGATGGGGTTTCAGCTTGTCGAAGACCGATCTGGCTGTCGTAGACGTTAGTATATCCAACTCGAAGAAATTAGAGTAGCGGTCGGTGGTAATCAAGTACTGGGTACCCTTGAACTCGAATAGGTCTGCTGAGATGCTCTGCCATGGTCGTGCAGGTATTTCGTGACATTTCAGAGGTTCTTTCTGCTGCTGTGGTTTATAGCTGTTGCAAATGCTGCACCTTGAGATGAATTCCGGGATTTGCTTGTAGATGCCTGGCCAGTAGAAAGCTACTTTGGCTCTCCTGAGGCACCCCTGAATGCCCAGGTGACTATCATGTACTTAAGCCATTATGCATTGTCTGAGACTAGATGGCACTATAATGCGGTCACCCTTGAAGACAATACCATCTTCGATTGACAACTCATCTCTGAAGGGAAAGTAGACCTGCAACTGGGAGGGTACTTCAGTCCTTCTCTCTGGCCAGCCTTGTGTGATAATAGGAGTCAGTGTCTGGAGTTCTGTATCAACTTCAGTGGCACTTTTGATATCTACATATTCCGTCTCAACTTCCGTTGGTGATCTTGTGGCGGCAATGCTCCATACTTCCTGTGTGTCCTCTATGTCTTGTGTACCTAGGGGGAGGTAAGCTCGGCTAAGTGGGTCAGCTATGTGCATCTCTGTACCCTTTCTGTAAGAAATGTCTAAGTCAAATTTCTGTAGACGCAATAGCATCCTCTGCAATCGCTTTGGTGCACTCAATAGACTTTTTTTCAT